AGATGCCTTTGAATTGAATAGAATTTAAGGTTAATACTGTACTGTAAATATCCTGTAGTTTTGGGAACCAGTCAATTCAAGCGGATGCAACTTCGAGCGAAGGCCAATTCTAGCGGATTCAAGCGGAATTTTTTTCGAGCAGATGCCTAGTTTGAGCGGAAGAAGATCAACCTGTGCGAGTTATATACGAATTACTTCAAAATTTCCTATTTTTGAGCTAAAAATTTGACATTTTAAAAGGGGAAGGGGGCACACAACAGTTCCAGAAGACTGTAATTCAAACATGGAGTAATTATCAAAAAGTACTAAAAACCTTTCAGAACCTTAGTAATCAGAGCATTTTTTTGCATTTAAAACAAACAAATACAAGAATACGGCGACGATAAATTCGTCCTTGTTATAGTTCGCACTAAATGCATCCGCTCGAACTGACATCCGCTCGAATTGACTGGCATCCGTAGTTTTGTAGATAATTTATTATTTCATTTGAAGATATTCTCTATAGCTACTCATTCTTCTACAGGGCCTAGCTATGTTTTATAATTAAAATTAAAAGGTAAAAAAAAATCCTTATCCATATTCCTCTTATGCAAGAAGTGATGACAATTCACTCTAATTTGTCCATAGTAAGTATTAACGAAACTCTCAATGTATTCGATGTTTGAAATACGCAAAGCTGTGTGTAGTGTAGCATACACGATTTCGATTTTCATTCCTCAGTACCAGGCCCCTAAAAATTATTTGCACCCCCAGTCGCCCGCACCCCCAAAAAAAATCACGGTAAAGTAGTTAAAAATCACTTAAAATCACCATATTTTGCGAATTAGCGCCCTTCAACAGATCTTCGTGACCCCCCCCCATTTTGACACCTCTAGATACGCCACTGGTTGAAAAAACGAACCACTCTCCATAAAGACATACTACTGTATGGACTGACAACTGCCAGCACAGTGTAAGCCTGGCTTTACTGCAAAGTTACAGCATTACTACTGTATTTTTTCCATTCTATTTTTCAATTCATTCAGGATTTTCCAAACCAACAAGGCTGAAAAACAGTACTGTTTAAACTGTGCATTTCACTTAGGCAAAGCACTTTACCTACATTGCTTTTGTCCACTAGTGAGTATAAATGGGGCTGCCTGCTACTGCGCCGATAAACATCAGATGTTTTTTCAACTGTCAAACCAAATTGCAAAAACAGGTCATGCATCAGTAAGCTTATTTTAGAAAATAAATGAATGCAGATACTTGTGTTTTTTTTTTTAAACACAGACAAAAGCCAACCAAATGCTACAGATAATTTGTATCCTGGTACTGGTTATATTTGTCCTGGCCAACAAAATAATCTTTGTCCGTTGATCGTCAAAGAGTTTGGTCATGACCTAAACTCTGGTCAGCAGAATTGACCTTTTCGCTAAGCCCCACCTCGTAGATATTGTTGCTAAGTTCCCACAAAATGGGGGTATTCCTGGCCCTGTTCTGATTGGTTAGTTGTTTGATTGACAGTCCAGAAAGTTCTATTGCTGTACTAGTAGGGTAGCCTGACATAGGTACGTTCATGCAAGTTGTACTGTATATAGTATATTTTCATTATTTGTGTGGAAATTCACAAGAAAAATTATAAATAATAAATAGGTGTGCAGAACCATAATTTACTGCATAATACAGCCAAATTTTTTAGCCAAATTTGAGCAGAAATCTGCCCTTATTTTCCGAAATACGCAGCCGGATTTTTAGGCCAAATTTTTGCCCGGAGAATAATAATAATAATTATAATGTTACAGCACATAATGCCAGAGCTTTTATGTGCTTAACATGAACAAAAATGCGAAAAAAAAAAAAGGACGAAAACTTAACACTGACCAAGACCACCACAGTCAGTGAAAACCAGCAGTAGGCCTAGGCCTACGTAATATTCACACACAGCATTCCATGATATGGTTATAAAGCAGGTCTTACTTTTACCCCGGTATTCTTAAAACTTTAGTCGTACTTCGAGCTAAAACTTAAAAATTACGTCATTTCGTATTCTTAAAACAAACTTCGACTAGCACTACGATTAAATGACGCGAACCTCACCTAAAATTATACCTCCGCAGGCCAATTTTTGTAGTCAGCCTAGGGTCAGGCTAAATCGCCGACTTGAAATATTTACCCCAATGAAAACGTGCTTTTTGTAACTTACGATAAAGTTAAATGAATAAAGACGATTGAATAAGTAGGTCTGATGTATCTCCACTGTGTTCAAGAAAAGGGACATTTTGTTTAGCTTCCAAAAGGCGAAATTAGCATGTTTTGCTAGCCACATGCAACAGTTCCTGATTTGCATGAAATCCTCTCGCGTAGATTTACCGTAACAACAACAAAGATGGCGCCGCCCTCCCTCGACCTTAACTATAATAGTTCTCTAATGAAAGCAAATTTTTAGTGACAGTTCAATTTCTCTATCGTTTGATGTTAACGACTAATATAGTTAATAGTATATAATATTAGTTAGGCGAATAATGGGCAATTATGAATTATGAGGAAATATGTTTTTGAAAGACAAACGGCAGTTTAATATTCTTCCGCGTTACCGGATCTCTAAAATTTTGTCTGCTATTAAAATTAGCTCTTTTTATTGGTTAGTTTGATAGTTGTTGCTTGCCAGTCGTCTTCAGCTGAACTACAACTAGGACTTGATTTAGTCGTAGTTAGAACTTCTACTACGTTGTTTGTGAATACAATTTGAAGTTGAAGTTGCAATTAAGACTAAATGAGGTTCTAGTTCGAAGTTCGACTAAAGTTCGTTTTAAGAATACGGGCATTACAGTAGTATGGGGCTACTGTACCTCATTTAAAAAACGCCGTGGCTAGAGATACGGTACCGTATCGGAACTTCCGATTGCTAAAGGTACGGTAAATGATATTACGTCAAGATTAGCCAATAGAAATGACTGACTCGATGTTAGCCCTTTTGCAAAGTCGACGTCGCGAACATGAGAAACGTGGCGCGAACAGTTTTACGATCAAATTTATGTTATAAAACTTAGGCCCATTTCATGTATTTCGATTGGGGCTTATCACAATGTTTTGGTTAAGAATCCTTTCTGTTATTCTGGTATATCTTATGGTCTACCATAGAGAATGGTCTACTAAGGCTAGGCTTAGCTTGGGGCCTAGCCCGAATCATACCCGCCTAGGGGCATACTTATAGGCCTACTACGTACTAGGCTAGGCTTAGGCCTAGTACTGAAGTGCTACTACTAGGGGCCTAGCCTAAGCCTAAAGAATAGTAGACACTAATTATTATTGCTGATTGAAATAGCCGACCAAGCAATATGGCAATTGTAATTATCAGTAAGAGTAAACTTTATTTGTAGTAGTAGTATAGGCCTACAGTGCGCAAACTATAGGAATTATATGCACATTACACTAGAAGAAGGGCCAAGGCGGGCCTATTGTATGAACGGATATACAGGGCATGGGCTGGGTAACTCATGGTTATTTACTTGTTTCTGTAAATAAACTAACTGTAATCTTTCCTATTTTGTCTTTATTTTTGTTTCCTTACAGCACAGTAAAGAGGGGGCTTCTTGTCAAAATGAATGCTGTACATTTTGTAAATTTGTACTATGAAATAATAAATAAGGCCAGTGTACATCAATCTGTATCATGGAATGTATTTAACTGGCATCACATAGCTTAAATTACTGTCTAAACCAAGCTTGTTTTTAATTTTTTTTTTTTTAATTTTTTTTTTTTAAATTCATGTACAGTGTATGTACTGTACTCTCTTGAAAAGAAGCCTATGCTATCATGGGCTTCTTTTCGAGGCTATTATTTTGCAAACTAAGGAGGAAGGCTTCAATACAATCCGAGGTTTTTACGGTATAGTACATACTTTTAGTATAGAATATAATCTGGTTTACAATTGCAACTTTTTTAATTATTCGTAGTAACTAGATTATTTGGCCGGTTTGGCAATAGACTTCTACTACTACTATTCCTAGCCAGGTTTCAGCTAGGGTGCAGGCCTAAGATAGGCAGTAACAACAAGGAAAGGTCGGACCTAGGCCTAGGGATGTTCAGGCAGGCTTATCCTACCTAGGCATAGCTAGTTTAGGCATAGACTACCGTACTACTCTAGCTAGGCCCTCCGGCTTCGCTAGGTTTCAGGGGTAGCTAAGTCCTAGCTTCTACTAATCTATTAAAATAGTTTATTCTCGCTTGATGTCACCAAATCTAGCAAAACTGCTATCCTTTTTTATTTGCTATAGGGTCACAGCTTGTCAACACCACCTACGAACGAATAAAATTTCTTATCTTCGATCGTTGCTACACACATCACTACTCTTGCATGCAACAGTGCACTGAATGACGTCACGCATGTATCGGCGTTTCTATTGGCTAATCATGACGTAATATCTTTTACCATATCTTTTTACCTTTAGCAATCGGAAGTTCCGATACGGTACCGTATCTCTAGCCATGGCGTTTAAAAAACACCCTAGCCACCTGTACGCTGGCATCAACCTTATGCTAAAGTTACGCAATAGGATACGCCTGACCCTTTTCACACTGGAAACAACTGAAAAAGGCAGTTATGATAAAAAATGGAAAAACCAAGGACAGGTCTGGCTAACTAGCCTACCTACTTACTACAAACACCCTTACTACTACTACTAACTGAACTAGGCCTAGGCTAGGACTTGAGAGAGTAGACCTGCCTAGGCCTAGTAGTAAAGTCCAACACTTAGGCCTATAGCTAGCATAGGCCTACTACTACCAGCTAGACCCAGGCGTATACTTTTAATATATGCCACACCGACGTGCCTAGTTCTACACTAGGCCTAGGCAAGCAAGGCCACTGTGTAAAGGGCCTTGGCTCGATAGGCTAGTAGTAGGACCTAGGCCTAGTAGGCCTACACTCACTAGCCAAACCCACCTTCACGTACGTAGGAGCCAATGAACAATTCTTATATTACAGCATAATAAATAATTGTTAAAATTTTACCTACCACATAACGTAATTAATTAGTTATAGATTATAGATACAACAATAGCATGCCTTGAATGGTGTGCACAAATCTCGTCAAAGAGTTCACGCCCCACGACTTTCCGCTGAGACGTAAACTACGTGAGCCTGCTGCTCGTTTCCGTATTTATGATCAAAATGGCGAAAATAGTGAAAATAGAGGGCGTGAACACACGTGTATGTTGTACTTTTATAGCACAAAATGCCGGAACTTCAATGAGCTTATTGAAAATAATTATATATATACAAAAAGAATTTACACCTCACTGCAAGCTTAACTCATAACCCAAGTAAAAAAGCACGCAAACACTCACATGATGAATAATAACAATTATGAAATAAAAACGATACAAAATATAGAAACACTTAAATTGTTTCTATGACTTCTATTAATATCCAGTAAATCAAGGTAACAATATTTGTATTCACTAATTTCTCTGCTGAAATTAGTATTTTTTTTCAAAATAAACAAGCTAATTCAAAATAGATTCTGTCTCTTATACACATCTAGATGTGTATAAGAGACAGGTGTAAGCCTGGCTTTACTGCAAAGTTACAGCATTACTACTGTATTTTTTCCATTCTATTTTTCAATTCATTCAGGATTTTCCAAACCAACAAGGCTGAAAAACAGTACTGTTTAAACTGTGCATTTCACTTAGGCAAAGCACTTTACCTACATTGCTTTTGTCCACTAGTGAGTTGTTCCCACCTCTTAGGCATGCCATCATCCTTTCAGATAGTCATCATTTTCATTGTCCATGGAAAAATGAATGTTTTTCTGAAAAATAGCAAATAATACAGTAAATTTTTTCATGAGCATCCAAAATTTGATGAGAGGGAGTGATGTGAAACTAGCAATTATTTTTATTTGGCCTAATATATCTATCATCACTATGTTTTTATAACTAAATAAATGTTGGATTAAATGAATAATTTTAGAAAATGGTTGGTGCATTTGACTTTATTTAGAGGCAATTCAATGTGTCATGTTTTCAATATAGCAATCATGAAACTGACAAAACAAAGTATATGAACCAATTAAGCAACAAGTCTTATATATTTTTTTTATTCTACAGTGAAGTTTATTGAGCAATACTTAGAATTTCCTATACATATATATCTGTTATGAAACACATATCTTGGGATTCATATTCCCTTCAGCACATTAGTGAATTTCAACAAGTTGTAAAACTCTTCCAGATTATAAAATTTCTTTGACAAACCGTTGTATGCCCATATATAGTCATGATGTGCCTATATATGGTCATGATGTGATGTCATCATGACCATATTTAGGCATGTCACATGTTTTTGTGAAAAAAAATTGATAGCTGGACAGTCAATAATTGAGTATTTCTGAGTCAATTTTTCCATTGTGCACAAACTTTATCAACGACGATGTTGCTGTGCAGACTTTCCAAGAGTTTTAACATTTCTGAAGCTCGGGTGAAATTCACAAGGGCGCGTCCAGTCTCCCGAATTTGGAGTTCCAGGTGTTGGAAAGTCTGAGATAACGACTGCCGTTAAGAATTGCAATTGCATCTGTATTTTTCTGGGGAGGAATCTTTTAATGCAGCTGAAGACTGAGCTAAAAAAAATGTCATAGGTTAACAAAGACCAGCCTCCCCCACCACCATCTGGCACACAGACATACACACACAAGTTTGATTATCACCATTTACATTAGTTTACTGTACTTTGTCAGATTTTCAAATTGATATGCACATATTATTGAATAGCTCTGTTCTAGATTTCAACAATGATTTAATGTAATATTTATTTATAGGTGTTCAGAATAGGTATTCAATTAACTAAACAGCCTGCAGTTATTTCAGTTGTTTTTAAAGTGATATGAAATTTTAGAACAAGTTTGCAATAATTGAACATTAGACTACCTTAGAAACTCCACATATCCAACAAACTGTGCATATGTGTCATTTAACAGTCAGCCAATTATAAATTACTCATTTAATTAAGAAATTACATTAATTAATAATTGCTAATGGCTATTTTGATAATGATTTTGCAAGTTGCATGAATGTTTCAAATTCTATGGCACATATCATGCAACTGTCGATGTTCCAAGTTTCTCCTTCACTTTGTCATCAATATTAGTAAAATATTTTAACTTTGCTAATACATCTCGTGCTTCTTTTAATCTATCATGTTTAAACAGCTCGGCAAGTTCTTTCAGAAGTTTGTTCATTTTCTGCACATTATTTTCACCGATTTTCTTTACAGTCTCCAGGTCTGATGTTTCAGAAAGCTTTTCATTTAGCTCCATCATGTCCATGAGGAAGGCACTGTCAACCATCGAGTCACCTTCTTCAATAGGGTAACCTAGCAATTCCAACAAATACAGTCCTCGATTGAGTGGTTTCAACAATATCGAATATGCTTTGTTGACAGAAGACGATTGAGCAGCAGAGAATTCCTGTTCTTTAGGAGACTTCTGACTGAATTTATCCGGATGGAGTAAACGTTGGAACTTGCGGAATGTCTGAGTCAGTTCACTTGTATTGACATCAAATGACCTTGGTATGTTCATTCTTTGGAAATGATCAATGTTTTCTTGGCATGGTTGAATGATTTTACAAGAATCACAAAAATAGTTCATGCCTAGATCAGTAGATGACAGATTACTCTGACAATTCCAGCATATTAATGATAAATGACAATAACGAACCGGGAATTGTCTTAACGAATGGCTAGGCCTAAAGGATGCAATATAATTCTGTGCTAGCAGGCCATGCTGTCGTGGCTGTGCAGGTCCTTTCGTCGCTATCGAACCTGAACATACAGCTAGACCTAGGCCTGAGTTTTTCTCACCGTCAATACTTCTGCAGTTGTACAAGGTTGAAAACAGCCCGAAAGAGCATCGATTGTTCGGGTTAATCGTAACATATTGAGATAACAAATGTTTACATTTTAGCACTCGATATCCTAAAATTAAATTAGATTTGAGTGGTCTAAACATCGTGAACATGGGCGCTGCCATGTTGATATTTTGATTAAAAGAGGGCGCTCGAGGTAAACAAATCGAAATTGGATCTTGTACAGTATATAGTAGACAGATGCCACCAAGATAATGTTTGTAAATACGAGTTTTTCTTTTATTAAACGTATTGCAAATATTATAGGCAAGAACTATAACAATTCTGGGTTACTACCCTGTCAGAAATGGACCAACTTTTGCACAAGCTCATGTTTGAATTCAAGTATTGGTGACGAATATCTAGGCTCATCAAGCAGGCAATCTGGCTTTACACCTCGGCGAGCAGTGTTGTACGTACCCGCCAGTGAGCAGAACAAGTTAGAAAAGTTAAAGGGCTTAGCAGTAGATTGTGCTGTAATGGATTGCGAAGACGGAGTTTCCATTAATAGAAAGGTATCTAGTAAATTTTTTTTAAAGAAATATGCATAATTTGTTGATGCCATTAAACAGTAAGAAAATGTTATTTAAATTAATTGATTAGAAATAGTTATTTAAAAGGCAGTCCACAACCATTTTATTTAGCCAAATTTTTCATAATTGGTACATAGCTCTATTTCATTCCATTCATATTATGATATCATTAAGGCCATTATTTAATTACTGTTAATATGATTCATATTTCTGATAATTTCTTTTTTGTTTGCTTATGTGAATCACAGTTGAAATCAGTGCTGTCACTGTAAGTATTATCACTTTTAAAGACAGAAATACAATAACAAGAATAGCCACCTTTGTAAACACCTTTTGAGACAATATAGACATGATAATTCATACCATCTTTCATTTTAGCTTTTCTACATTTGTTTATAGGATGTTGCCAGAGAAAACATCAGGATGGCACTGGACTCTTTATCTGCTCCTGGTGTAACTGATTTAGCTGTCAGGATCAATGCCATGGATTCCGGAATTGCAGCAGATGATCTGGCAGTAATTTACAAAGCTTCAAACTTACCAAAAACGGTCATGCTTCCAAAGGTCAATAGCAAAGGTGACCTGCATTTGGTGAGACATTCCTACCAAGTCTCATATATCTGATGCGAGACTCGCGCTTTGAGGCACAGTCTCATTCTCTCACTCCAGCCCCTTAACATCTCATTAGCCTTTTGAGAAATCTCAGTTTTCCCAAAAATTGGAAATTGATTTCTTTACAATTTACTTTCATTTATATTCAGTATACTGCTGGGTCCGCAAACTATGTGCCACAGCCCAAACTATGTGGGGGCCCTCAAAGTTGCCCATGTTTTTGTAAAACTGCTTTATTGAATACTCCGTTTATATGAAATTTTGTTACTAAATAAAACAGATAATAATTATTATTGTATATCATAAGAATATGGACATAATTTTTATGATCAGAACTACTTGGTCCCTAGCGCAGCAGGGCCAAGGCTTGGTGCCTAGAATCTCAGGCCGTGAAGTGAAACGTTTGCAGGTTGTCACTGTTTTTATAAAATTTTGTCACTAATAGAACAGATGATTATTGTATATCGTAAGAATATAGACATATGTTTCATGATGAGAACTTCTTGGTCCCTAGCGCAGCTGGGCCAAGGCTTGGTGCCTAGAATCTCAGGCCGTGAAGTGAAACGTTTGCAGATTGCCACTGTTTTAATTAAATCATGATAATTTAGTTTTCAGAAATGTTTGTGGACATTTTGAAGACCAGGCAATGTCCAGATTATAAGGCTAAGCTTGTGATATTTGTTGAGAGTGCTATCGGTCTTCTAAACTTGAGGGACATCTTAGCAGAGGGCATTGAACTATCTAAGACTGTACCATTTCATCTTGAAGGGGTTGTGTTTGGATCAGATGATTTTTGTGCTGACATAGGCAAGTCTGTTGATGATGATTCAACTGTCAAATTTGTCAATTTCATTAACAATCCAAAATGGCAATCACGCCATTATCATGGGTACTGTTAAATGGAGAGTCACTTAGTCAGTGATTTATTTCACTCTTGGTATCTTGCCAGAGAAACAGACCTTTTCTTTTTATATTTTTAAAAGTATTGGCTTGGAAGTTATTATCTAACCGTGTCATGTTATAATCTCTACAATCTTTCTTATACCAGGTGCAAGTAGAACAGAAGATGCCAAAGAACTGTTGTATGCACGACAAAAAGTGGTTTTAACAGCAAAAGCATTTGAATTGCAGGCAGTCGACCTTGTTCACATCAACTTTCGCGGTGAGTTAGGGAGTCAAGACATTCTTGAGTCCCCTTAACAATGAATAAAGCTTTCAATAAACAGTGGGTGGGTCATTCTCAATTTTCGCAACCCCCAGACCAAAATCCAGCCTACACCCTTGCATTTCTATATTATGCAAGACTCTTTTTATATCTTGTTCTGCGAACTTACTTTTTTTTAAGATTGTAAAGGGGAAGGCGGAAAAAAAAATAAAATTTTTATTTTTCATTTGGCAAAGAGTTTCCTCAAAAACATCCAGATGGAGGTGAAAATAAATTTGTGAATGTAAACAGTGTAGTAATCGGATGGTTAAATGCTTTAAATTTACAGTATATAATTAGGAAGAAATATATACGGTACATATCTTTTCTTTTTTTAGATTTCAAGGCAGCGGTGGGCATAATAAAAATAAAGAAAAACTTTTTTTTGGAAATTTTCATTTTTTTGTTTGTGCGCTAATTGGCCAAAAATAAAATTTAATTTTTATTTGAAATTCATTTTTGGCAGGCGGTGGGTACGTTAAACAAGGTATAAAAAAAAGTCTAGCCTTATTTTTAAAGATGTTAATGGGGTTTTATTGTTACAGAATTTGTGACCAGCCCTGCAGCTCAATTATTATTTGTTTAGTAATCAGTAGAGTAATATTACTTAAGAAATAAAGCATTAAGTATTCAGTATAATGAACACATAAACTTAACGATTAATGAATATTGTTTATCAGATCTGGAGTCACTTGAGAAGCAGTCATTGGAGGGTGCTGGAATGGGGTTCACTGGCAAGCAGGTTATCCACCCCAGTCAGGTATATATTGTTCAGAAAGCATTTAGTCCGTCAGCTGACAAGGTTGAATGGGCCCAAGAACTTATTAAAGCATTTGAAGATCATGAACGCTTAGGGAAGGTAAGTTAATTACTCTACAATACAACAATTTAAAAAAATCCACTGCTAAACCACTTTTTGGCTTGTAATCTACCTTCTACATTGCATTTGACATTTAATTTTTGCCCTTTTTTCTTAGGGTGCAATGACATTTCGTGGCAGTATGATTGATATGCCATTGGTTCTACAAGCCAGAAACATCTTGCGTCTGGTGAACATGAGTGATGATGCGACACAAAGGTGACAGAATTCACAGAGAATGAATTTTTATTCAAAAATTTGATTTATTTTATTGACAGATATAATACATTAGTTTGCCTTTGGCAATCTCTTGAACTTTAGTTTTCTATATAATTATTTAACTACATATTTCAGTATATAATTGACAGCATAAACATTAAAGTATTACTACCATTCCTTCACAAAATTTGTTGTGTTTTTGTTATTCATTGTGTCATCTAGAAGACAATACTGATAATAGATAATACTGTATGACTTGACTCCATGAGAGCAGGTACCTGAGAATACCTTTTACTGTTAACTTGAGAGTAAAGGGCAGTTGCTGGGAAATGAGCATGAATAAAGCTACAGGCTGTATGTTGAATGAAGTAACGAGTACATGAATATTTATTTACTGTGTCTCGTAAGACACTACAGTTAGCAACGAGGTAAACTAACTTCAGTACAAAAATAGGAAAATTATATCAATACTACATGTCACAGATCCGCCAGCATTCCTGCAAAACCCAGGCGAACCGCCCATTAAATGGACGACATGGAAAGAGTTGTTTGTGACATGGCTCTTTATTTAGACGGTTGCTGCGGCCCATCGAGAGGCACTATTGATAAACGAGCCTCAGCGCTGGCGGCCAGCGTGTCTTCTACACGTTAAACAGTAATCGTACTAGTCCTGCATTATGTCTGAGGCATCTGTACGACAAGATGAGGATGTGTATCGAAAAACCATGTCTTTGCTGCATAACCATTTCAGCCTGAAATTAAACGTGGTCAGTGTACGATACACATTTCGCCAAAGAGCTCAGGCAACAGGTGAGCCAGTTGAGGCATATATAATTTAATTAAAAGAACTACCCAAGAATTGTGATGTTGGTTCTTTATTTGGGAAAAGATTCGGAACAGCTAGTTGAGAAAATAGTGTCGTTGCAACGCATGGTAGTGCAGGCAGAATCAGCAAAGCGGGAGGTTAAAACTTAGGTCAAGCGGGCAACAGTGCTGATTTTGCGGAACACACGTGCAAGGAGAGGTGCAGGACAATAGTGAGGCAGAACATGACTTTTTAGTTCAGATGATAATTAACAATGATCATGAAACCACTAATGCTAAGGTAAATACTAGTACCAATGACAAATGCACCATGTCTAACAATGTAACATACAATATTGGGTTAAATGGTATTATAGTTTGCCATTCATTGTAGATACAGCTTCTGACGTATCACATGCTCAATGCTAAATGGTTCAACCGTTATTTTGTAAGAGAGGCGTTTACAGCTATGTCATGTACAGATATAGACTTGTACTAAAGATCCCATTCACATATTGGGTTGTTTTACCGCTAAATTGGCTTATAAACGGAGACATACACAGCATTATTTTATAAGTTCCTCGTTTGGTAAAGATGTCATACAGGTGCTGGGTCTGCATATTAGGCCTTCTTTGAAGCCAAATGGGCCGAATACATGGCAGCAACTAGGCTTGAGACCTCTAACGTAATATTTCAGTTGCCTAAATGCCTAGACGACACCCTATGTAAAGACCTAGGAGGTTTAATATATGAAAAAAATAGAGAACCAATCTCTAGCTGCTATAAAACTTCATGCCGTAAAGGATGAAAATATGGTACTGAGGACAGAGTTACTAGGGATGACTCAGGATCACAATGAATCTATTCAAGCATTTGCTGGACGATTTCAAGGACATGCACTCATCTGTGCTAAATGAGCATCCCTTGTCATGATGAAGACATTAAAGATACGTTAGTCAAAGGCGTCTCAGATTGGGATATACATGTTGCAGTATTTGATGAACCACGCACAACAAGAGAAGACGACATTGTCATGTTTTCACATGTAACGTAATGAACTAATAGAATTGAGATCACTATAATAATATGGTGTCAGAATTTGGGATATGATGGCTTACAATACTGGGAATCAGCCCATCAATGACTAATTGGATTTCAGGTAACTTTTATGTATTTTAATTATTTTTCTATATTAACTAATATGAGTGTATTTAAGGATCCATAGATATCTCATAGCTGTATTTACACCATTGTGAGAATAAGGTTCTATCGTATCGTATCGTACTTAGCCAAATATCAACTGAAGTTCAATCAAGTGAACTGCCTAGATTATTTTCAATGGGCTTCTTTGTAAGAGAAAGTCAAGGTAAATTACCTTTTGTTATAGTTCGTAGATATACATGGACTTGGCACAGACGAAGCCAAGATATTAGGCATGTGTGAAGTCCAATTTCAGAGTGGCTAGATTTAAGGTCAGAACGTTAACCCAAAATCTGGGAGAAACTATTGATTCATTCTATACACGCATCAAATTGGAAGGTGAAGAGTGTGAATACACTGACAAAGCGAATCAAATCTTAGATGTCATAATAGCTGGTATTAACCACGAAAGTATCAGAAGAAAACTAGTCATCAAAAACAATAATTTTAAATTACATGATGCATGAAAACTTGTCAGAGAGTATGACAGTACATCAAAATAATAAGACAAACTGAATTGATATTGCCGCTTCATAGTTGATGAATACTGAATAATATCAAAGTTAAGTCCGATGCAATTAAGTATTAGAATGGAAATTATCAATTTTTGAGACACACAGGGTTTTCAAAATCGTGGGAAAATGAAGCTGATAAGATACCGTATGTCTTATCATTAGGTTATTGACCTATGTTAACATCCCAAAAAGGACTTTCAAAAAGAATATTTTAAAAAGTATATTTTTCTTTAAATCAATCAATCAAATGATTTTAGGCATGCTTAGCAGGTCCCCCAGATTTGGGGTCTGGAGGCTGGCAAAAGTACTTAGTGGGGCTCAGAATTCCTAATTCAAACAATTTCAGACGTAGATCAAAATATTGTTTTCTATATTATTAACGTTATTGATTTTTTGTTTTGTCCCGGGCCAGGGGCACTGGTCCCGTCAGACCCCCTTCTCAGCGATAGTGATTCTCAGGGGCACTCCTACTGAAGATGAGTAGATAGATTAGGCCTACAGTAGTTGATTAGTTCTGAGTCTCTAAGGGACCTTAAGATTCAGACTGGTTCCTCGCGGCCCTTTGTGTCCAGGTGCTAGATCCAGGACGAGGACCCTATGTTTAGGGGCCCCTAAAGGTTGGGGTCCCTGCATTACGCCACTGACTGTTATTCTAGGTATCATCCTATCAGACTTTCGAAACAATAGGAGAGGTCCCTATTGATTATTCAAGTATTTCCAAAGTGGAGTTTGCACTGTGTGGTTGTCCTGCTAGGCAATTACCACCACCTCAACCCACCACACCTCCATTTGCAGCCACTGAGAGCTAACGGAAGAAACTACCTCCTTGACCATTATCGAAAGTGCATGTTATGTTTAAACTGGTTTGCTGTTTCTGATCAATAAACTTCACTTGCAGCAGAAGTCATTCCTATTTGTTTAAGGTGGCCTGACCTATTTCTGTTAACTTTTCAACTCTATTACAGGTATGTCATCATACACTCAGGGATCCCATGAGATATTAAAGCATATGTGCACAGTTAGCAACATAAAATTGCTGTACATGGTATGGATGTTTTTTGTTAAGCTTCATTTTTCAAATTTTATAATTAGGTGGCACTATAGTGTGAACTGTTTTTTTAAATACAACCAGTAAATATCAAGGGTTTATTCTATCCGGTTAATATAGGTACCGGTAGATTTTACGATTGTACAATCAAGGCGTCAGATGAATTTATAGGCCACAGACTCGTGGACGTTGCTACCACACCAATCTCTAGGCCTACGAAAATTGCCAAATAAAAGTTGGACAGTGCTGCTGATCCTAATTCTTTCGAGTCTATGCCTAGTGCTAGCGTGTGGCTAGTAGTTCAATTGGAATTGCTACTAACACTCATTATAGGCTTAAGAAATCTAAAATGGCAGCCATTCTGAAAATTTTATCCAACATTCTAGAAGGCCAACAGCAGTTTGGGTCTAGGTTAGAAGACCTTGAAAACTTTTGTTATGAGTATGCACCAAATGATATGGAGGTCATGGAGCCCATAGAGAGTGACCCTCCTGATGTGCGGTTGGCTAGTCTTCCCAAGCGTGTTTATAGATATGGTTGGGAAATTCCTTGATAAGGAACAATGTGGTGTAAACATATACAAAGATCTGGCTGCCATTAAAAATACACTCTTTTGTGAGAGTACAAGTGAGGACAAAAACACTGATTTCACAAAAAAGACAAATAAATCTGAAAATTGCAATCATCTATCAAATGTCAAAGAGTAGACAAGTTGGTTTTAGACGTAATAACTGGCCTGGTAAGAGGTTCGACTTGTTTGGCCTACTTAGTCAATGAAATAGCAAACTATAAGGATTGCCCATAATTGATAGATACCCAAAGGGTCCTTGACCCTTCCTGGCTAATGCATATCGGAATTTGAATTTAAAAGAAGGCGGGATTGTATGAAATCTGACTTGAAGAAGGATCATCTACATCTTTGCTCGCCGATATGCTTTTTGGAGAGGATGTGTCAAGGCGTGTTAAAGACAATCAGGAAATGAACCAAGTTGGGAATAAAATCAGCACATCCAGTACTGGTTTTAAACCCCCATTCTCTCATACAATAAGAAGGAGAATGCAAGGTCATGGCAGATTCCGAGGCCACCGTCGTGGAAGAGGAACTTCTAAAAAAAGGTGTCAAGTCTTACAAAGAGAAGTAAAGATGCATTATCACCCTCAGTAAGTTTACATTATTTGCCTGATGTACCATTCCAAGCAGGAAAATTGAAACAATTGAAGTTCAATGGTGAGATATTACCTCTGATGAGAGGATAATCAATATTGCACTTCATGCTCACATTGAATTTACAATACGAAGGTGCTTGTTCTCTCTTGACTAACACATCGAATCAATATTCTAACACCTCTCTGCCTTGTTCGATTTGGTTTATGGTAGCCTGACCTCGTTGGCCTAGATGTGTCAACAATGATTTATAGGTCCTCCTGAAAATTAAGAATATATAATATTTATTATTGATGTCATAATTTGACATCCAACAACAAATTTCACCAATTACAGCAGTGTGTAATACAAAAAAAAAAAACATGTAGTTTTCCACCCACCCTAAAGCTAATTTCATGGCCCTCCATCTACCTTTATTAACCCACTTGCCTATCCTTTAAATCTACAATTATTATTTAGAGCTTAAAATGTCTACCACAAAAATTGACACTCTTAGTTTCCTACAGCTACAACACTGAAAAAATTTAAACTTCATTTTGTATCACATGACATTGGTTATTTACACCATTATGTCAGTCTTGAAAACTCAGTTCTATCTGTGCATTTTTTTGTTCCATTTATTTTGTCATCTTGCACATCTCAACTTAATACAATGTTATCATTGGTTGATAGAAGATGGGCTGTTCCATTCAGAAGAAAAGTAAACCTAACTTTATTTTTCATAAAATATCAAATGACAGGGATCTATTTTAGGTATGTTATAAAACGAATAACGAATGTTTTGTATTTGTGTAATGGGAAGAATATGTTCATTCGTGGAAAGATTGACTGTTCCATTCAACTTGGTTCCATATTGTTAAATGGAACAGTCAATCTTTCAATGAGTGAAAATATTCTTCCCATTGCACTCACACACATTTAATATTTATATACCAAAGTAAATAAACAGGAAATGTAAATAAAGAAATGAGATGAGCTTACCTGAGTTTATTATCAGTTCCAACACCTCTCTTCATCTCACATTTGGCCAGCTTCTCATTTAAATAAGGAATCATATCCTCCAACAATGCAGGGTAAAGGGCAGCAACACTCTCCAGCACTTGGAAGGTGGAAGACTGGTGAACAAGAAGATTGCGATCCACAAAAGTATGCAGCACAGTAGATAGCTCTTCGCTGAAACAGGAAATAAAGAGAAGAGTGACTTTATTGATGTTTAGCCATTTTACAATGCCACCGACATATTGGTAACGGTTGAGCTTAATTGTGCATTAATAGTAAGCTGATTATACTTTAGAATCTCAGGTAGCTCCATAGTGGTTTACATTCTGGTAATTGAATGAATATATTTTAAATCACTTGCTACTAGATGACAACTGGTACATTGTATATTCCTCGCTTCACTTTCATTTTATGTTCTACATTCTATATCATTTCTCCAGAACACTCATCATTCCAACATAAATACTTATCAAGGAGTCCAGCAATCCTGTCCATCTTTCACTCACTGGGTAGCACCAGCAGGCGTCAGAGAAGCTAAGCCCTCACATCATTCGTTCCAAAGCCAGCTATTGGTCATGGCTGGTTAAGCTTTCTTTAAATGCATAATGCTCTGAGACATCTGAACAGATAAAAATACAATCCATGGATTACCGAATAAACTCAATGCTAATATTATTTTATCAAATACTTACTTGAGATTCATATTAGCATTGCTCTTGCAGGCTTCCAGCATGGACACTAAAATCTGTGATGCCTGTCTTTTGAGACCACCATTGTCACACATTAACAAATAATTCAATATAGTCCCTAATAAAGGTGGGGTGTTCCTGTAAAAAGAAATAAGATAAGAAATTAGATAATTGGATTTTTAAACATCAGTATTCAAAATTTTATAAAATACTAATTTTATTAAAGATGTTGATTTGTGAAATAACTGACATCAGAATTTGAACCCAAGACATTATGATTACCATGCATTTGCTGTACAAACCGAGCTTCAGTGCAAGCAGGTGTATTCCCTTTCCTTTTTCTCCATTAGGGCAGGTTTTTTAAAAGGTATGCCACAACATGCAGAATATTCAAATAATTTGTTTTTCCCAAACCACCACATAACATCTTTATACTCCATAAAAAAGAAAGTTATTAAAAATGAGATATTATTTGGTATTTTCTTACCTTGCTGTTTCACCTGATACTAATGTTCTGTTAAATAACTCTTGGACAAAATGAAGTGCATTAGAAGCTTGACTTGGAGCCTGCTGGCCTTTCAGAACCATGAAACGTACTCTCAAAACTTCAATCATGAACTGTCGTAAATTGCTAAGGATTAGTAATAAAAGAAGATCACAAAAAAACTACACATTACAGTCAAACCCTTTAAGGTAATGTTATGATTATTATGATAATGACTATTGTTATTATAATGTTATATAGCGCTTCATGCTAACAAGACCTCTAAGTGCTTATTATTACCCCCTCCCCCGGTCAATGCATCAAACATATGAAACATACACTCAGCTCCCTGGGAAGAATCCCTAATGCTGTAATCAGCACATTTTGTGTTTGAACCTACCAGACAGACACTTTTAATTCTGATTGGTGGGAGACAACCAATAGGCTGAGAAGCACAACTGCAACTACTGTGGCAAACTTTCTTACATTATCAAAAGGAGATATAATATAATAAACCTGCTTGGTGCACTCAAGCTAGATATCTTAATTACCTCATCTGTACTGTAGGATGACATAGTTGAGATGGATACAGTGTAACCTATAGAGAGGATAATAAAAACAACAATAGTTTAAATACACACAAATTCAATAAAATAAAAAATACAATGTGTGCAGATCTTTTCTCGCTGTAAGAGCTTAACAAAACCTCCATACTGTGGCATATATCTGAGAGTCTGGAAATGGGAGAGAATCTGATGGTGGGGAGGGGGGGTAGCTAAGTTGCAAAAAAAAAATACCTTCAGGTAAATTTTAACTAATTTAACAATATTTTGTTTTGCTTTTAGCCATTCACAATGGAGGGGAGGGGGATATGGTGTGTGAACCTTTTTTGTGGGGGGTGTTCTCTCCTAAACACCCCTTAATATGGCATTGCCTCCATAATAATAAAAGAAAAAAAAACATGATTTAAATATGTACATTTTCATACAAAAAAGGAAAACAAAAAACTTGCAAAACTATACAGGAAAAATATAAGAAAATCAACCTTAATGTAATTTTTTCTATAATTTTCATGTTGTAAGATAGAAATTACAAGGTTATGAAACTGAGATAGCCTGGCATGCAATTTGAGGCAACAAGGGGTTTGTTAGTTTGCTTCAATCATTCATAAACAACAGCACAAACTACAGTCGTCTCTACTACAGTACTTGCATTCAACAAGATGAGCATGACATTTCCTAATGTGATACTTTTAGTCGTGATTAGCTTGATGGTTGCCAGACACGTACTTGCTGAAGGTTTTGTTGAGTGGGTTTATACTGCAGAAAGAACACAATTGACAGTAGAGCAGTCACATAAAGAGTACCAGATAACATGGACTGGAAATCAAGGTTACACCTTCGATGAAGTTCAGAGTTACTATGTCTACAAAGATTATCCTCCTCAAATGAATTTGACTAAAGTCAATTGCCAAATATTTTTATCTTTCTATGAACAACTAGTAGGAATGTATACATGCACAGATGATAATAATGAACACTTCCTGGTTTATTCTCCTGAAGTCGAACAACACTCTCCAGCTTACAAAGATGTTAGTGAAGTTTTGGCAGATATTGTAGGAGATGAAGTAACAATCTCTTGCACAGTGAATCCATTATTGATAAAGCATATCAAAAGCAAAATCACAATTGGATGGATCCAAGGAGGATATAATATTACACAGTCAAAGGATTTGCATCATGATCAAATCATTTTTAATCATACTTTCACAGCTGTCAAATCTGCAGATGGCATATTCTTCTTCTGTACTTCAACTATGTTTGATTACTCCTCCACTGTTACCTGCAACACATTAACTTTGAAGGTTCACTCAAAAATTATTTGAATCCACTGACAAAAATGTTGTGCTGACAACAGACACAAGCACAATTTGACAGCCCTCAACTATTTCAATTCACTGACAAAAATGTCATGATGACCACAGACACAAGCACAAGTTCTCAGCCTTCATTTCTTCAAATGGACATGATGCTACAGAGTAAACATACAGATGTCATGCTGACAACAGAGACAAACACTATTTCTTGGCCCTCAACTTTTCAAAATGACAATCAAGACCCTGAATTAAATTATGTTACTGTTAATTTAGTTAAGAGTAAACATACAGTAGCCATTATCCTGGTAACCACCATCTTTATATCTGTTGTACTAATTTTAGCTTATGGGAAGACATGGCAACCATCTGCTAGCTCCAGTGCATTATGTTGACTTCAGGGCATTCCGAATTTAGAGGAGGATGTATGAAATTATTAACAGTGTGATTACGTTGGATGCAGAAACCAGTTCCAGGAAGATTAAACCAATGAACCACAATGAAAAATTGCATGGTAATGTCGATGTAGACATCAGATACCAATTATTATTATCATCATGATTAAATTTGAAAGACAAAATGAAAATGATAAAATGTTCATACTTTTTTTGTACTTCAGTCTGTAAACTGAACAGAAAGAAATCAAATTATGTTTCCCTCTGGATTAAATTCATTTGAATAAATACATTAAAATTTGAGTAAACATGTAGCTTAGAGGTTAGAATGCTTGCTTTTCAATCTATGTGTCTTCTGCCAAACCATGGTATTTTTCCTATGACATAATTAACTCTACTTCCTCTAGTTATTAATTAATAGTAATAATTAATCTACTGTTAAATAGACTTACTGAAATTTGAAGGTAAAATCTATTTTAACTGAAATAGTTGTTAACGGTCTAAACCAAAATTGAACAGGAAAAGTTAAATAAAAAAAGTATATATTTTGTAAGTTAAATAGAAACTAACTTCGTTATGACACTGGGATCTAGCCAAACATATGACATGATATGGGGCTTTGGATATTTGTTTCAATCATTCCTCAACAATGTCTAACACCAGATTGCCCCTCTCCCTCCCCCCATCCCCATTGGGGAGATAAGCCTCCTTCTAAGGCAAACAAAATTTTTTCGTTGATATAACAATAAAAAGGTGCTCAGAGGTACTGTAACTAAATGTTACATTAATTGTTCCATTAGAATCGATACTTTCATGAATATAATGAGATTAAGGTTTTTTAGATTCTAAACTAAAACTGTACAGGAAAAAAATAACCCTTAATTGAATTGCTATAATTTCCTTGTTGTTGATGTTGTGAGTAAGATAGAACTAATTTTTCAATATTATGAAACTGATATATCCAGTCTTGCAACATGAGGCAACAAAGAGTCTTTTAGTTTGCTTCAATCATTCATCAACAACAGCACATACAGTCGTCTCTACTACTTGAAGTCTTAAGGAATTTCACAAGATGAGCATGCTGTTTTCTAACATCATTCTTTTAGTGGTGGTTTCCTTGATGGTTGCCAGAAAAGTTATTGCTGTGGGTTTTGTTAAGTGGGTTTATACTGGAGAAGGAGCACAACTGATGGTGAAGCCATCAAATAAAGAGTTCCAGATAATGACCGGAAATCATGGTTACACCATCATCGAAAAGAATGCATCTTCATTACATTTTCAGAGGAACTATAGTGTATACAAAGATCATCCTCCTCAAATGAACTTGACTAATGTCAATTGTCAACTATTTTTATCTTTTAATGAACAAGAGGTAGGAATGTATACATGCACAAATGATAACAATGAACACTTTCTGGTTTATACACCCAAAGTCAAACAACAGTCTTCAGCTGACGAAGATGCCTGTAAAGACTTGAGAGACATTGTTGAAGGAGATGAAGTAACAATTACTTGCACATTCAATCAGTTATTAATCAAGCACACCAAAAACGAAATCACAATTGGATGGATCCAAGAAAGATATATTGCACTGTCACAGGATTTGAATAATGATCAGATAATTCTTAATCATACTTTTACAGCTGTCCAATCTGGAGATGGTACATTCTTCTTCTGTATTTCAACTGTGTCTGATTACATCTCCACTGTTACCTGCTCCACGATAACTTTGAAGGTTCACTCAAAAATTATTTGAATCCACTGACAAAAATGTTGTGCTGACAACAGACACAAGCACAATTTGACAGCCCTCAATTCTTCAAACGGACATGAAGCTTCAGAATAAACATACAGTAGCCATTATCCTGGCAGCAGCAGCTACCATCATCTTTATATTTGTTGCACTTGCTTCAGCTTATCTACTCCAGAAAAGACATGGCATACATCGACAAACTACAGCACACTATCCTGGTTATCACTTTGAAAATGTTAATGGTGTGATTACATTGGATGCAGAAACCTGTCACAAGAAGATTAAACAAATGAACAAAAATGAAGAATTGTATGGAAACTACATTGTAGATATCACTGACTTTAATACTGATTATTATTTATTATTAACATGATTGAAGTTGGTGAAAAACCAAATAACAATGTGAATGAAGGTCACAGTCTTTGTACTGGAGTTTGAAAACTGAACAAGAAGAAATAAAATCATGTTTCCCTCAGTATTAGATTAATTTTAATTAAATATATTGAAATTAGAGTGAAAATGTAGATAGTGGTTAGAATCCTTGCTTTCTGACTGTCTTCTGCCAAAAGGTGGTGTTTTTGCTTATGATTAAAATAACTCTACTTCCTATAGTTATTAATTAATAATAAATAATCTATTTTTAAAATGAACTCACTGAGGTATGTTACATCTTAAACTTTGGTAGTAAAATCTATTTAATTAAAATAGTTTTAAATGGTCAAAACTAAAACTGAACAAGAAAAGTTGATTAAAAAATAATATATTGTTGTACATTATATAGAAACTAACTTTGTTATGACACTGGGATCCAGCCAAACATATGACATGATAGGGGGGTTTGTTAGTTTGCTTCAATCATTCCTCGACAACATCTAACATCAGTCTGTGTGAACTCTTGTCAGGGACACATTGTCCCTATCTCCTAATTGGGGAGATCAAACCTTCCTTCAAGGACCAACATTTTTTTTTTTGCTTGATGTAACAATAAAAAGTGCTTTGAGGTACTATAACTAAATGTAACATTATTGTTCTATCAGATAAGCACTACAAGGACTCTATGAAATATGATTCAAGCTTTTGAGGAATAAAATATATAATGGAATAATTTATTCTAAACTAAAACTGTAGAAGAAAAAATAAACTTTATATAATTGGTATAATTTCCTGGTTGTGAGTAAGACAGAAACTATCTTTACAAGGTTACAAATGTGAGAGCCATTATTCGATGTGAAAAATCTAAGTTTTTTAGTTTCCTTTAATCATTTCTCAACAACAACACACACATGCAATCGTCTGCTACTTGAAGTGTTATGGAATTTCACAAGATGACCATGCCATTTCCTAATATCATTCTTTTAGTGGTGGTTAGTTTGATGGTTGCCAGATATGTTACTGCTGAAGGTTTTGTTGAGTGGGTTTATAGTGGAGAACGAATACAACTGACGGTAGAGCAGTCATATATGAGAGTATGAAATAGTATAGAATGAAAAACAAAACGTCAACGTAGACGAAAGACAAAATGACAATGTAAATGAGAGTCATAGCTACTTTGTACTTGAAAACTGAACAGGAAGAAA